ATTCCAGTCAAGAGCATTTATCCAGGTTGTATGCTTGAGCCCCAGTAGGGGGTGTGCAAGAGGTAGTTAGTCAGTAATTCCCTCCCATCACTGATGTTTCTATATCTCTTTCCTTATATTTCCTTTTATTCTAGTGGCAATGTCTACCAAAATTACAAATGCATGACTTCTATAATCTTTTAATTCCATTTCTAGAAATCTATCTTTACAATCAATGTTTGCATACATGTAAAATGATATACAAAATATGGGAATAGGAACTGACAGGTAGAGATGGAAGACTTTTACCATCTATCCTTTTAAGCTTTCTAAATTTTGAACCAAAAAATTGTATTAAATTTAAAAGTAGAATTTATTTTTACCTCATCCAAGGATATGTTTATGTTTTTTAAAGAGAGAAAGGGAGAAAAACATCAATCAGTTACCTCCTGACAAACCTTCAACCTAGGTATGTGCCTTGACTAGGAATTGAACCTTGAACCCCCCCACCCCCTTTTTTTTTAACTTTTTTAAAAAAAGGAAAAAAAAGAAAAAAAAAAAAAAATATATATATATATATATTTGTATCGATTTAAGAGAGGAAGAAAGAGGGAAAAAGAGAAACACCAATGATGAGAATCACTGATCAGCTGCCTCTTCCACGCCCCCCACTGGGGGCCCACAACCCAGGCATGTGCCCTGACCTGGAATCGAACTGTGATTTCTTGGTTCATATGTCAAGACACTCAACTACTGAGCCATGCTGGCTGGGTAAACCTGTAACCTTTTTGGTGAACAGGACAATGCTCCAACCAACTACCAGGCCAGGCTAAAAATAGAAAATATTAAACTTCCAAGTATGACAATTGTTTCCTCCAAAAAACCCTACCTCCTGCCTAACGACTTGCACAAAATCTATTTCAAAGTATCTTTTACAAGAATAAATATCCTTAAGACATAGGTATTGACTTTACTAACAACAACCAAACCCCAGAACATTTTACATGTAAAAACTTAAGGTAAAAAAATGCTGCCTGAAACTACATAATTTAATTTACTAAGGTAACCACAATAAATGCAATAAAGAAAAAAAAGACAGAAAATGATACCTTTCATGTTTATTTAAGATCTATAGACACAATGAACTTCAAATGAAACCTTTATGTTGATGAAAATCTCTAGTCTAGACCATCATCAAAATAAATTTTGAAATAAAGAAAACTGTCCATAAAATAGGTCTCCTTCAGATATTTTTATTCCACATTATTGTCTCCTCTTTCAAACATTTCTAAATTTAACATCCCACTGTTTTCCAGTAAAAGACATCATCACAGTTCTTAATTCCTGGGTGAGGACACCGAAATGGAACCCTGTCACCATAGTCTCTCTGGTGTTCTCCACTGTCCCCTCAATACAAGATTCCCCAGCTGCTTCCTGTACTGTATTCTTCTTTCTGTACTGCCACATATACGCAATGTGCTTCCTGCCACATATATGCAAAATTTCTGCTCAGATAACTATTTATTGCAACGTTGCCATAATTCAAACTTGTGTTTTGTTGTACTCTGTAATGTAGCAATCACTCTGTCTCTTGATGCATGGCCATGGTGTACAGACCTCTTTTAACAACAACTGAAGTGAACTCTGAAAAGACCAGTATAACCTGAGGTCATGCCAGGTCCAAAAAAAAAACACAGAAAATACCTTAATCATTAAGGTAGTAGTTTCATTTTCTGGAGTTCTGTGTTCTATGCCCTCTGAAAGCCTCTACAGGGATGTACTTTTTATTAGTCTCTAGTTTCTGTTGAAGGTTCTTCTGAGTCAGAACCTTCTCTGACTCTGAACCTTCTCAAGCACATTCAAATAGCCACAAAAAGCAGAATTTCCAATCTTGCAACAGCAAAGGGAGAAAGGCCCCAGAAGATTGCCCAGACTCACCAAGACCATTTACAGGTGGGCCCAGACAGTCAGATTTCTTCAGAAGTCTTTTTGTTTTCTTTCATGAAGTTAGAAAAAGAAAAAAAAAAGATTCTGTATTTATTTCTTTTTAAACTGGGGTATAAATTTCTCAAACAAGGTTTTAAATGTAATGATGGTGAACACCACAGTGTTGCACAAAGCTTTTTGAATATTCACAATTTAAAATTGTAAGGAGGCCATGAGATTTATAAATTGAATGTAAGACACAGCTCTGGCTAAAAAAAAATTATATAGATGCATGACTAAATCCATTCTGACCAATGTACTAAATGGTAACTGAAGGACTGTAGACTAACTTGTGCCAAACTGTGCGACCAAACATAATGATATTTTCCTCTTTCCACAGTGTTATCCAGAATAGCGCAGGCATGGTTGGAAACAAATCTAACCTCTTCAGGAACTATGAGGAGACATTAATCTTCACCAACTGCTGAAACTGGTAAGGGCAAAGTTTGCTACCTTAACATGAGGTTGAGGAACACACACTAAGATGCTACATCAACTTTCAGTACAACTTCCTGGCCATAACAACATGGGCAAAATTAGCATTTATCTCTCCAGGTTAGAAGACATTACAAGAACACAAATAATATCTAGGGAGTGACATTCATTCACTTTCTCTTCCTTTCAGCAAATACTCAAACACTGATCCTTTAATACCCAAAAGCCCCACAAAAACTGTGATAACAGTTACAAGAGAATCTATGATAACAGTTTATGATTTAAAATGTAACCTTTTTAAAATTATTTTAATCTCTAAATATTCCATACAACATTCTTAATTATTATGAGCAAAAAATAGATCCTGGCACAGAGACCTTAAAAACTACAAAATGTAAGAAAAAAAAAACTATAGTTAGTATAGAAAAAAAGATGAAGATTTCCTAGATGATATGCGGAAAAATAATATCTTAAAACCAATTGTACAGGTGACACTCTCAAGGATTAAATATAAGTAGGTTTAGGGTCTAAAATTTGCAAATAATACAGATGGCTTCTTAGCTTTTTCTTTTTAAACAATATATAAGGTATGTAAATGTCTAATTACCATGCTGTATTCCGAAAACTCATATAGTAATTGTATGTCAGCTATAATTAAAAGTTTAAAAATTTTTAAATTAAAGATACTTAACAACTATTCTTTTATTTAAACCCTTACTCAAGAATATGCTTTTCACTGATTTTTAGAGAGAGAGAAAAACATCAATGTGAGAGAGATACATCAACGGGTTGCCTCCTGGACACAACCTGGGTATGTGCCCTCATCCCTTCAGTGCATGGGATAATGTTCTAGCCAACTGAGCCACACAAGCCAGGGCAACACCTCATTTTTTCCCCCCCCTACTTTTATTGAATTCAGAGAAAAAGGGAGAGGGAGAGATAGAAACATCAATTATGAGAGAGAATCATTGATTGGCTGCCTCCTGCATGCCCCACATTGGGGATTAAGCCCACAACCCAGGCACCTGTCCTGATTGGGAATTGAATAGTGACTTCCTGGTTCACAGGTCTACACTCAATCACTGAGCCATGCCAAGTGGGCTGTGTTAACACCTCATTCTTTACGGAATCTTTATGAACACAAGGCATGCATTATACCTGTTGTTTGCAAATAAAGATAGGTAGTCAGACTCATGAACACCAAGAAGTATGTACACAGTCCCATTATGAGCTGCAGCATATATTCCTGAAATGGTTTATGAAGTATATATCTGATATGACAAAAAAGGAATCTATCAGAATCAAAATTAAGCGCAGAGTCAGGAAATAAACAAAACAAATTGTGCGTATTCCTTTTATAGATATGTTGATTTCAGAGGAGGGGGGAGAGAGGGAGAAAAGAAGAGAGGAAGAGAGAGAGAGAGAGAGAGAGAGAGAGAGAGAGAGAGAGAGAGAGAGAAAGAAAGAGAGAGATTGAGAAACTCATCAATAATGAGAATCACTGCATACCCCTCACTGGGGACCAAAGCCACAACCTGAGCATGGACCCTGACCAGGAACCGAACCTTGATTTCCTGGTTCATAGGTCAATGCTCAACCACTTAGCCATGCCAGCAAGGCAAAATGTGCGTATTTCTAAATGTTACAAAGGAACTCAGTATACCTAAAACTTGAGAACAGAATGCTCTACTTAAGTCAATTCTGAAAGGAACATAAAGACTGACTTAGTGACATAACAGAAAGAGTTCTAGATTTGGAGCCTGCAAACTAACTTGGGTTTGAGTCGTAGTTCCCTGATGTGGTAAATACATCTTCATCTGTAAAATAGGGGAAATATTATAGGACTTTTGTGAAGATCAGTAAAGATTATAGGTGACTCTTGCCTTTGTTAACCATGAAAAACTAAGTATTGATGTTATTGGTCCCTAGTCTAGTAAAAATAGTCAGTTCAACATTTTATCGCTTTTTATACAAATTTGAAGGTAGTTACACTATTTTTAGAGTGTCAGATTCAATCATCTGTAATAAATGATAGCAGTTACATATTTGATATGTAATATAAAGACTTAAAATATTTACTTAAAGTTCTTACAATTTCAGATAATATCATATCAAACTATTAATCATGGTAATTTTAATTGTCCTGAACTAAATAAAAGAAGTTTTTCAAACATGCCAGATATTCCTGAATCTAAGCAGTACATGAAGGGGAAATAATTTATTCCCCTAAAGTTTCTTAGTCTATATTACTCTCCTCAATTGTCATCTTTTTTCCACTCTTTCTTTCCTTAGAAAATAATTATTTTTCACGCTACCTAGGCAACTAAGTTTTTTTAAAACTCTCCTCCCCAACCAAAAAAAAGTGGAAGCAGGACAAATTACTGCAAACTAATAATAAGAAAAAGTAAGTTGTTCTGTGGTAAACGAACAATGTATGAAATAAAACGTTTTTTAAAAATGACATTTAAAAATAAAAAATATATTCAAAACACAAAATTCAATTATTTATATCCACTTTAATGTGAACCTTATGCCAACCATTTAGAGTGTCTGCTGTTTTGTATGCATAAGAATTATCAGAAATATGTACTTGTTCTTACCTTTAGATTTGGGAATTAGCTCTCCGCAACTGAGTATCCGCACCTCAGCAAATGGTTTGCTAGCTGCATCTGTTTTCTGATTTTCTATTTCCCTCACAACTTCTTGACCAGAAATCACTTGCCCAAAAACAACATGATGCCTGAAGAGTCACATAAAAGTGATTAAATAAAAGCTTCTTATTTTAATATTAATTTAAAGTAGGTTTTAAAATTAATTAAAATATTTACCCATCTAAATGAGGAGTTGGTTTTGTTGTTCTTTTGAAAATCATCAGACAGAAGAATAAAAACAAAGTCAGAGAAAAACAAAGTTAGCATCTCTACAAAGGAAAAGAAAATAACTGCATTGGAAACAAAGTTGTACAAACAAATCATACATCTTAACATAATACTTATTACATTAACCTTAAGTAGAATAGAATGTAATATGTTTTCCACATAATGAATTTTCAAAAACTTTTTCTGATTATAAAAGTAATGCCTACACATTGCTGGACTAAATAAAAGAAGTTTTTCAAACATGCCAGATACTTCTGAATCTAAGCAGTACATGAACAGGAAATAATTTATTCCCCTAAAGTTTTCTTAGTCTATGTTATTCTTCTCAACTTACATGTATTTAAAGTTAACATTACATGTATTTAAAGTTAACATTTTGGTGTTATTTCTATCCATCTATGTTTTTTGCATGTGATTTGATTCTTACTGAATATTCATGGTTGTATATTGTTCCACTATATGGATATATCAAAATTTGTCAAACCATTCTACTAATTAATGATTTAACAATAGTATTTTTTAAAAAAATATATATTTTATTGATTTTTTACAGAGAGGAAGAGAGAGGGACAGAGAGCTAGAAACATCGATGGGAGAGAACCATCAATCAGCTGCCTCCTGCACATCCCTTACCGGGGACGTGCCTGCAACCAAGGCACATGCCCCTGACTGGAATCAAACCCGGGACCCTTCAGTCCCCAGGCCAACGCTCTATCCACTGAGCCAAACTGGTTTTGGCAACAATAATATTTTTAATCTTAACACTTTAAATAGTTAAATCATAGATCATATTCTGATGGCTCTCACACATTTCCTGTTGAACCTGAACAGAAACGTATAATGTTCATAAATTGTTAAATTACCTGTCAACATTTAAAATTTTAGATGCTTTTACATAAAAATCTAGATTTTAGACCTGGAAACTGAGAAGATGTAGGACCCGACACTTGGGAATAGTTGGCCAGACCGAGAATCCCTGCCTTCTTTAATACAGGAATTAATAGTTCGGTTTCTTGTCCCAATAGTCTTTACTTATATTATTTCTTAAGATCTGTAGTTTTTTGAGTTTGTTACCCCTGTCATAAAGTAAACTTCATGTTGAAGAGAGATCTTGATTAAAACTTTGGATAAAACCCCAAGAAAGAAATTTTTTTTTTTAATGAATAAAATACATTTTTAAAACCCTTTCTTTTCCCATATTAGCCTTAAAAGCATTGTGGTTAAAAGAAGGCTCTATTTGAGTAGCTAGTAGGACATACTGGATGAGCATTATATAAGATTTATTATTTTTAAAAAATCTTATCAAAAAAGACATTAGAATTTTGGAAGAAGAAATACCATTTAAGTTAACTAATAGTTCATCCTAGCTGGTTTGGCTCAGTGGATAGAGCACTGGCCTATGGACCGAAGGGTCCCAGGTTAGATTCCAGTCAAGGGCACATGCCCAGGTAGTGGGCTCGATTCCCAGTAGGGGGCATGTAGAGGGCAGCAGATCAATGATTCTTTCTCATCATTGATGTTTCTATCTCTCCCTCCCTCTCCCTTCCTCTCTGAAATCAATAAAAATATATTTGAAAAAAAGTTAACCATTGGTTAAAACACATACAATACTACTAAAAAAAAATTCTAACATATACATTTATTTTTAAAAGTACACCTTACTTTTAAAACTAATAACCCATTGTTTCCTCACTGTTAAATAGCTGTGCTTACTTGAACTTGCTAAAAACACCTAGAAATGTAAAAACCTAGGTGTACAATTTGTATGCATTATGTTACATTCAATGTGCAGGCGTGTGTACGTGCATAATCTGCATCTAGATATAGTTAATCCTCACTCCACAGATTTCATATTTGCAAGTTTACTTGCTCACTAGATTTTTTTTTTTTTTTTTGGTAATCCCTAAAGCAATTTCATAGTTATTTTCATGGCCATTCTCAGATTGGTGAAAAAGGTTGTTGATGAGAAATATGGAAAAATGGGAACTCCTATAACAGTGCTGGTAGAAACATAAAATGATGTAACCCCTGTGAAAAACATTCTGATGGCTTCTCAAAAAGCTAAAAGTGCTCTGGCTGGTGTGGCTTGTTTAATATCCAGTCAGGGCACATGCCCTAGTTGAGGAAGCCTATCAATGTTTAGTTCTCTCACATTAATGCTTCTCTTTCTTTCTCTGCCTTTCTCTAAAAATCAATTTTAAAAAAGTTAAACGTAAATGCCCATACGACTCAGCAGTTTTGACTCCGAGGTATGTAGCCAAAAGAACTAAAAACAGGGACTCGTGGAAAGAGGTAAAATGTAATCAATACTTGGAGGGAAGATTCAGTGAATATACTTGAAAGATGTTATGAACTTAACAGAGATTTTGGTTAGCATAGAAGAATTTTATCTAAAAAAGGAAAATCAATTATTATATATTAATCTATTGTTTGAATGTACAGTGCTTTATATAATTAACATATATATGTATTAATTATATATGTTAATTATATATATATGTCCTGAACTGGAATTGAATCTTGACCTGGTTTATGGTCCACGCTCAACCACTGAGCAACTCTGGCTGGATTGTTTTACACTTTTTTTTTTTTTTTAAACGGAGAGAAAGGGAGATGAATAGAGTTAGAAACATCGATGAGAGAAACATTGATCAGCTACCTCTTGCACACCTCCGACTGGGGATATGCCTGCAACCATGCACTTGACCAGAATCACTCTATCCACTGAGCCAAACCAGTTAGGGCTGTTTTACATATTTTTAATTTTTTCTTTGTATATTGCTGCATTGAATTCCAAAAAAAAAATGTATAGTTTAATATCAGCAGTTAAGTACCAATTTTATGAGATCCTTAACACTGGGTATGATAATTGATTTTTCCTTTTTTATTTTTTAATTATTTTTTAAAATATATTTTATTGATTTTTTACAGAGAAGAAGAGAGAGGGATAGAGAGTTAGAAATATCGATGAGAGAGAGTCATCGATCAGCTGCCTCTTGCACACCCCCTACTGGGGATATGCCCACAACTAAGGTACATGCCCTTGACCGGAATCGAACCCGGGACCCTTCAGTCCCCAAGCCGACGCTCTATCCATTGAGCCAAACCGGTATCGGCTGATTTTTTCTTTTTTAGATAAAATTCTTCTATGCTTACCAAAATCTCTGTTAAGTTTATAACATCTTTCAAGTATATCCACTGAATCTTTCCTCTAAGTGTTCATTTCATTTTACCTCTTTCCACGAGTCCCCGTTTTTAGTTCTTTTGGCTACATACCTTGGAGTCAAAACTGCTGCTGGGTCGTATAGGAATTTATGTTTAACTTTTTTAAAAAGACTTTTAAAATTGATTTTTAGAGAAAGGCAGGGAAAGAAACAGAAGCATTAATGTGCGAGAACTAAACATTGATAGGCTTCCTCAACTTGGGCATGTGCCCTGACTGGATATTAAACAAGCAACCTTTTGGTGCATGGGACAACCATTTTTTTTTTTTAAGGATTCATCGAGTAGAAATTTTGAAGATAAACAGAAGCCAGGTGTTTCACTGTTGAAGAAGAGCTACAAAGATGGAATGGAAAAACACTAGAATACACGTGGTGCTGATGGACTTAAGTTATTCTCAGAGCAGACGAGCAAATCTGTTCCCATAGGACATGATAAAAAATACATGTTACTAACAAGAGTTCTGGGTCACAATTTTTTTATAGTCAGAATTACAAAACATCAGCAGTATTAGCTTTGGGATTGCAAACATATTTAATGAGTAGGCAAATTCACATATACAGAATCTTAATGAGGACTGATTTTATTTTACTTTTGTAATTATGTAATTTATGGAGAGATACTCTGGAAATATCCTATTCATTGTTAAACATGCCCTCTAGATTAGCCAGCATGGCTCAGTGGTTGAGCGCTGACCCATAAACCAGGAGGTCACAGTTCGATTCCTGGTCAGGGCACATGCCCTGGTTGGGGCCTCAATCCCAGTTTGGGCATACAGGAGCTGATCGATGATTATCTCTCATCATTGATGTTTCCCTCCCTCCCCCCCCCCCCCTCGTCCCTCCCACCCTCCTTCTTCACTCCGTCTTCCTTCTTGCCTGAAATCATTATTTATTTAAAATGAAAAAATAGTTTTTAAAAATATATATGCCCACTAAATCTACAACCTAAAAATAACTCTTTTCTTCATTATTACTGAGATGACTGTAAATATAGTGACTTTTCTACTGCATCATTCCTTTTACATTAATGAGTTAATATTCTACTAAAGAACAGCTTTTGTGTTTCCCATTATTTACTCATTTTTATATCTATGGACTCCTAGACTTGTTTTATTTGATAATCCAACACTTTTTGATTGTCAAACTGTCCCATAATGGCCAGTGGAAACACCACCCCCTCTTCTTGACAAATTTTCAATCATATTCCCTTCTTCAACAATTCCTTGTTGTCCCTTCTTTAAAAATGCCCAACCCTTATGGGGCCCTCCTCTGTTTATTAGGGATCAAGGGCAGGCACACAAAAAAATGACACACCATGAGAAATATTTTCAGCTATCAGATCATAAATACTTACATGAAAAACTGAGAACCATTTGTATCCTTCCCTCTGTTGGCCATTGACAAGAGAAATTCTTTGTTGTGTTTAACAGCAAAACTCTCATCTACAGAGAAGCAAAGTTTTCAGTTATATTACTTAAAAATTACCTCCAAAATTATTCCCACTCCTCTTCATGTCTTACGTCCATGACATGTGCTCCTTAGTACCAGTAAAATTTAGATAAAAGTCAGATTAAATGAAGAATCAAATATTAAGCAATTTCCTTCCCCATCTTTTTAAAGTGCTTTTTTTAAAACCTCACCACAGATATGTTTATTGATTTTAGAGAGGAAGGTGCAGAGAAACATGATGAGACAGAAATATTGATCAGTGGTCTCCTGTATGTATGTGCTCCCTGACCAAAGATGGAACCTACAATGCAGACACATGCCTTGACCAGGAATAGAACCCGTAAGCTTTTTGTGTATGGGACCACACTCCAATCAATCAAGCCACCCAGCTGGGGCTCTACATCTTTTTATATTAAAATATTTCTAATTTTCTATCCCTTGCTATAAACTCCAATTATTCTATCAACCCCCTTTCTTTCCGCTTACATTTGTCCTTTATGTTTTTTTTTTTTGGAAAGGGCAAATTTCTTTGTTTAAACAAAAAAATGAAACTTTCCTAAAAAAACAAGAAAAGAATCCAGATAGAATTTTTTTATATTGCCCCCCCTTTAAGAATTGAAAATAAGGAATGCTTCACAAATTTGTGCATTATCCTTGTGCATAATCTTCTCTGTATCATTCCAACTTAGTATCTGTGCTGCCAAAGCCATACTATTTATTTTACTTCTGAGTAATTCTGACCACAGAGAGGTGCTCTTTAACTTAGTCACTGCCACAGCATCACTTAGTGCAAAGAGCAGCTTGCCTTCCAATCTTGCATTAGAATGAAAACTAAGCAAGTGAAATTTGAAACAAAATCCACTGAATACCAAAGGTGAAAGATGGATAACAAGAAATATTTCCCCATTCACATGTTCATAGTCTATCAAATGATCTGCACATCAATAAAAAATTCTAGCGAGGAAACTAAAATCTGGGAAAAATGTTATAGCTAAATTTTGGAATATCACAGAGAGTTTAAAAATTTTTTATAGAAAAACTGACCCAAAATTTGGATATTGTTACTAGGAAATACTGCTGAATCACCTTTAATAAAGGTTAAAGATCATTCAATATCCATTTATAGTAAAGACTCTCAACAAAGTGAGTACAGAGAGAATACGCCTAAATATAATAAAGGCCATTTGTGACAAACTACAGCTATGGGATACTGAATGGTAAAAAGCTGAAAGCTTTCCCTCTAAGATCAGAATGAGATAAGGATGACCACTCTTGCCACTTTTATTCAACAGTAGAGGCCCAGTGCATGAATTCGCACACTGATGTGGTCTCTTGGCCTGGCCTGCACCCTCTCGTAATCTGGGACCCTTCGGGGGATGTCAGAGAGCCAGTTTCAGCCTGATCCCTGCAGGCCAGGCTGAGGGACCCCACTGGTGCAGATCGGGGCTGTGGAGGGATGGCGGGAAGGCTCCAAGGCGTGTCCAGCCATATCACCCAGTCCTCATTGGCTGGACCCCAGCAACAAGCTAACCTACAAGTAGGAGTGTCTGCCCCCTAGTTGTCAATGCATGTCATAATGACTGGTCCAATAGTCAAATGAGGGGTAGGCACTTAGCATATTAGGCTCGGACATCCCTCACAATCTGGGACTGCTGGCTCCTAACCGCTCGCCTGCCTGCCTACCTGATCACTCCTAACTACTCTGCCTGCCTGCCTCATCACCCCTAACCACTCTGCCTGCCTGCCTGGCTGCCCCTAAGTGCCTCTTGTCTTGGACCCCGTCACTGCAGCTTCCTCTGGAAGGACGTCCAGAAGGTCATTTGGCTATCCGATCTAATTAGCATATTATGCCTTTTTTATTATAGGTTACTTAAATCCTTCAAATAATATGATGTATGTCCTATACCAAAAACAAAAATTCTATCTCTATAAAAAGTCTATGATTTTTTAAAAATATTTTTTTATTGATTTTTAGAGAGGTAAGAAGAGGGAGAAAGAGAAACATCAATGTGAGAGCAGAACATTAATTGGCTGCCTCCTGCAAGCTACCTACTGGGGGTAGAACCTGTAACCTGGGCTTTGTGCCCTGATTAGGAATTGAACTAGCAACTTTTTGGTGCATGGTACAATGCCCAACTGAGCTAAACTGGCCACAGCATATTTTATAAAATTTTTCACAAGAGCCAAAACCGGTTTGGCTCAGTGGATAGAGTGTCGGCCTGCAGACTGAAAGGTCTTGGGTTTGATTCCGGTCAAGGGCATGTACCTTAGTTGCAGGCACATCCCCAGTGCCCTGATCGACGTCTCTCTCATCGATGTTTCTAACTCTCTATCCCTCTCTCTTCCTCTCTGTAAAAAATCAATAAAATATATTTTTGAAAAAGAAAAAAAAATTTTTTTCCACAAGGAAATTTACCTAACAACAAGAATTACCTCCAGAATAGTTGAAGGTAGATTTAGGCATATTCTCTCTGTTTACTAGTAAATAATCTTATTGATTTAATAGAGAAAATCAAGTGAATAGAAACCATTAAAAATACAATTTAAAATAAAAATAAACATTTTTACCTTCAAAAAATCCTCCATAAATAGATTCCCCTCCTCGTCCATTTCCTAGGGATGAAAAACATGGATTCTTAGAATTCTCAAAACAGTAATCTCTTTGAAGGTGCTACCTAAACAAAATGCTTCTTAGAAAATTAGTGCTTAAATGACTTTCAATAATACTCAAAGGTACATAGCAAATCGTAGTTAATACTGACAAGATCCCAAATTACTTTCTTTCCCTTACGATACAATATTAAGAATATGACAAAATCCATTAAGATAAAGGCCACACACACACTGGTCAATTCTAATGATGATTATGTAGGTTTTTCAACAGAAATTACTGGCCGTTTTGAAAGTGTCTTTAAAATAGAATCTGATGTTTTTATAATAAAAAATAAAGGTAAAAACTATATGGTAGGTAAGGATTACCAGCTATGAGGAAATCAAACACATACACTGATAGGTTACTAATGGAGAAATACAGTATTTTGTTTTTTATCAAGAAGCAAATTTCTAAAATTAATATATACTTCAAAGGTGAAATTATTTCCTGTGCTTCCTTCTTTCAACTTATTTCTATGAGTACTTCTAATTGATAGGGCAAATAAATAAAATTGAAGATTTGAGATCTATGATATTTAACAAGGAATATATAATTTTTTTGTGAATCAAACTTTTACCTTCACTGAAGTCTCCACCCTGAACCATAAAATCTTTGACAACTCTGTGAAAGAGACAGCTCTTATAATGCAATGGCTTCTGAGTTGATTTTCCTGTTCCCTTTTCACCTATATATATAAAAAAAAAAAATTAGTAGGCTATTTAATAGAAAGAATATCAAGGAAGTAGTATTAAAGCATAATTAATGATGAAAGCTTTCACCCTGTAAAATAAATAATATATATATTTTAAACTATTGAATTTTCACTCATTCAACCATTTATTACTGCATGTTAAGAATAAAAGTAATATGCATAAAGAAATCTTTTAAAATTTGTTTAAATAAAAAATACGACTACTGTTAGAGAAATTGAAAATATCCACAAACCTGTACAAAGACAACGAAAGTTCTCGCATGTTTTGGGACACACATCAGAAAATAATTCAAAGACAACTCTTCCAGCTTAAAAAAAGAAAAGAAAAAAAGGAGTTGGCTTAAACTTTCTTACTAATTTAAAATATTAAATACTCATTTATAAATGTTAAATAAGAACATTAATCTTCTCACCTGGTTGGTTATTAATAGCGATGTCAAAAAAACATCGTGGACGTTGAACCTTTATTCCCATGGCTCCAATATTTCAATCTATGAGTAAAATACAGTTTTCAGACAAAGATTTCTTCATAAATGACTGTAAAAAATATTTTGTGGAGCATAAACTAGAAATGTAGTGTGATATTTATTTTGATACTTCTGTGGCATAAAACATAAAGATTCTTTTCTTTTAGAGATAGAGTGCATTTTTTGAGGCACACAGAAAAGACGGGGGGAAAAGGCTTAGCCCTGGACAATGTGGCTCAGTTGGAGCATCCTCCCATGCACAGAAGGGTCTTGGGTTGGATTCCCTGTCAGGGTGCATACAGGAGGCAATCAATTGATGTTTCTCTTTCTCTCTTTCTAAAGATCAATAGAAACATAAAAAAAGAGAAAGAAAGAAAAGGCTTAGCCATATACAATAGGAAAGGCCCAGTGTATGAAATTCATGCATTAGGAGGGACCCTAGGCCTGGCTGGCAATTAGGGCGGATCAGGTTCCCTGCCTCCCCGCCTTCTCCTTCCCTCGCCACCGGCATCACACCACCATGCAGTTCCCCCTGCCTCCCTGCCTCTTCCTTCCCTTGCTCCCTCAGCACCCTGCAGCTGCTGCTGGTCACCAGCCATGTCCTGCACTGCCCTGATGATCAGCACATATCATAGTGAGAAAGTGAACTGCTATTCTCCCTGTTGAACTCCTGAGGGGACACTTTGCATAATAGCCTTTATGTACATAGTTAATTTCTATTTTAACAACCAAATATAGATTGCAACCCCAAACAGAAAACTGTATTAAGTGTATATGACTAGTGAACTCAAAAAGCAAATTACCTTTAAATAGAGAAAAATCAAGGACAGAATGATCCAATCCTTTCAGCCCTGGAAAACAAAAGGAGAGTTTTGATTAAAATGGTGGTTTTAAAAAGAAAACATGCAAATCTCTAAAAAACAAAGCAATACAAAAATAAATCAAGGAAGAAAGGGGGATAATTTAACAACAGTAATAAATGGTTCATTTACATTTTGAGTAAAAGCACATTAACTTTTACATATATGTTCTAATCATGAACAATAGCATTTATTGCCCTAGCTAGTTTGGCTCAGTGGATAGAGCATTGGCCTGCAGACTCGAGGTCCCAGGTTTGATTGCGGTCAAGGGCATGTACCTTGTTGCTGGCACATCCCTAGTAGGGGTGTGCAGGAGGCAGCTGATCAATGTTTCTCTCTCATTGATGTTTCTAAATCTCTCTCCCTCTTCCTTCTTCTCTGTAAAAAAATCAATAAAATATATATATTTTAAAAACAATAGCATTAATATGCTAGTGTAGACACAAAAAATCAGAAACATCAATAATGAGAGAATTATTGATTGGCATGCCCCGCACAAGGATTAAGTACTGACATGGAACCAAACGGTGACCTCCTGGTACATGGTACACACAACCCTGACTCACAATGGCCCTGTGATTACAGAGATTTTTTAAGAGTAATTCCCAATACAGTATCCACTCTTCTGGAAACAAAATGCAAAACTCTTAAGGTTTTATGCTTTAAACTGGTTTATACCATAAACCAGTAAAATTCAACTACTAAGAATCTACTATATGGAACTACCCTAAATTTAGAAAGCCTTCATGTATAAAGTTGGCCATCTTAGTGCTCATTTGATAGTAACATGTAATCAGAAGCAACCTATTAAATTTTATGAAAATTGGTTAAACTATAGTCTCTGGTTAAACACATATGTTATTAAAGCAATGCTTATAAAAATTAATAATTTAGAAAGTGCTCATAATTTGTTAAAAATAATCAACATAACAGTATATGTAACATAATTATAATTACATACACTACTCCTGTCCCACCAAGGCAAAGATTTACAAAAAGAAAAACATGAACCCTAAATGGTTTCGCTCAGTGGATAGAGCGTCAGCCTGTGGACTGAAGGATTCCAGATTCGATTCCGGTCAAGGACATGTACCTTGGTTATGGGCACATCTCCAGTAGGGGGTGTGCAGGAGGTAGCTGGTCGATGTTTCTAACTCTATCCCTCTCCCTTCCTCTCTGTAAAAAATCAATAAAATATATTAAAAAAGAAAAGAAAAGAAAAAAATGATGGGAAGGAAATAATCATTACTGTTTCAGCAATTTTCAACTAGCGTGCAACAAGAGGTACACTGTATACTGCAAAAAATGTTTAAAACATGCAAGATCTGACTATTTAGTCACAGAAACTAACTTCCTTTTCCCTTGTATTGTCAAATAAAAAAATAACAACATTCAATACAACAGCCGCCTAATGTAAATAAATAAAAATTATAACAATATTTTTTTGTCAGATAACAATGGTGACACAATAGATGACAACACTATATCCCTAACATTATTCAAACCAGATTTTATCTAGTCAGAAATAGGACATTATTTCTTCTATGAACTCCTGATACTACTCAAATAATATACAAAACCAAACACAAGACAAACATCTGGTCAATTTTTCTTTTCTTTTTTTCTCAAGAAAAAATAAAGAGAAAATAATTCAGGGAGAAATCAAGCCTATGCAATTTTCAGTAAAATAGTTGAGTTTCCTAAGAATGGTGAATAATGAAATCTTTTAGTTTAGCAGTCCATAGATGTTCTATTTGCTGCAAATTTGTTTAATCTAAATGAATTGCAGCTATTTCTATAAAATCAATATAAAAAATAATCATTCCTAGCCTCATTCCTGTATAGCAATCACAAGTCTCCCTCATTAGATGAGGTATAAGCTTCAGTTTGACCTAGTTTCCACTATTGCCTATTAGCTGTTACCATTTATTATGTACTTGACCTCATGCACTCACCTCACCTGCCCTACCCCTTCAGAAATCTGAACTTGATATTTAATTTCATCTACTTTATTCATATAAAAATACTTTAAAATAGGATAATAAAGTTAATAAGATTACAAAAAAAATCAGACATAAACTATAAAATTCTGGCTTTTAGCTATAACTTATTTTTTATAGTAATTTCATCTTTATTTTTAATATATGTATGTTCATTGATTTCAGAGAGGGAGAGACAGACACATCAATGATGAGATAGAATCATTGATCAACTGTCTCCTGCATGCCCCACACCAAGGATCGACCCCACAACCCAGGCATGTGCCCTGACTGGGAATCAAGCTGTGACCTCCTGGTTCATGGGTCAACAGTCAACTACCAAGTCTCACCGGTGGGGCAAGCTGTAACTTTTAATATTTTTCATATATACTTCTACTTTTTTCTAAGTAGAGAGAATCACATGTTGATTTAAATGTTTACCAAAAATATCAGTTACTTTTGTATGTGAATAGACATGTTATAATATTTTAAAATATAAGTGCTAGGATTATAAAGTTCTACCAACAAATATGCATATTTCATAAAAATATCAGAGGTAACAAGTCATATATAAAAATTTAAATCTTATAAGTTCATACGTAAAATAATTTCCATATTCACCCAAAAGTAACATAAAGGATGGGGGTGGGAGGGGAAGAAGCATATGGGCAACTAATTATTAAAATATATGGTAAAGGACAGGTATTTATAATTAGGCAATAAAAATACAGTGACTTCATTATATTCAAAGAATTATTCACACAGTGTGAGGGAATCAGTATATTACTGAATCTTAAAAAAGTAGATAGTAAATCCTTTTAAACTGTTAATATCAAGATGATCAGCAGGTTTTTGCCCTTTCGGATTCCCTTGGTTAATTCCAAGTGCCCTTAAATATTCTGCATAGCCAGAGTACACTCTGGGAGTTTCACCCTGACTCTTAAAAGCTTAAGTGACCCTTCAGTTGAATCTTACTTATTTTATCATAAACTGCTCTGTAAAGTCCTTGAACTGAGAACCTATATATCTTCAAAGCAATGACTGGCCTAGCACTACATTATCAAATAAAAAGAATACTACATAATCAAGGGATAACTAGAATTAGCTTTTTAAAAAAATATATTTTACTAACTTTCCACAGAAAGGAAGGGAGAAGGATAGAAAGTTAGAAACATCAATCAGCTGCCTCCTGCACATACCCCACTGAGGATGTACCCACAACCAAGGTATATGCCCTTGACCAGAATCGAACCTGGAACCCCTCAGTCTGCAGGCTAATGCTCTATCCACTGAGCCAAACCAGTCAGGGCTGGACTCTTCTATTAAAAACCAGTGCCTTGGCTCTAGCCAGTTTTTCTCAGTAGTGAGAGTGTCAGCCCACAGACTGAAGGGTGCCAGGTTCGATTCTGGTCAAGGGCACGTACCTCAGTTGTAGGCTCGATCCCTGGTCCTGGTCAGGCATGTGCAGGAAGCAACCAATTGATGTATTTCTCTTATATCAATGTTTCTCTCTGTTCCTACCTCCCCCACTTCTGCTTTCTCTTAAAAAACAATTAACACTAACTGGTTTGGCTCAGAGGATAAAACATTGGCCCTTACTGTTGTTGTTTTTTTGTTTTGTTTTGTTTTTAACATACATTTCTGCACTGGCCTGCAGACTGAAGGGTTCTGGTTCCATTCCAGTAAAGGGCACATGCCTGGGGTTCGGGCTCGATCCCCAGTAGGGGGCATGAAAGAGGCAGCCAATCAATGATTCTCTCATCATTGATGTTTCTCTCTTTACATCTCCCTTCTTCTTTGAAATTAATAAAAAAAAATATGTTAAAAAAATAAATAGCCCAAGTTAAAAAAAATTTTAATATCAAAAATTGATATCTACCTTTATAAGATTGATTTAATTCTATTTCAGAAGATTGCTGCTTATTTTAAGCCACCACTCAAACTAAAAGAGCAGATTTCTTGTCTGCACTAAAAGTACAACAGTTTTATTGAGTATTCATTATACTTGCCTGTAGCAAATTTCAAGATGCAAAATTTGCCCTGCAGAAATAAAACACATTGAGTTTTATTAGGACTATATATGCATTAAACAATGGCAAAACCATTGACATGTAAATCAAATGAGAACTGAAACTTGGTGCTAAAATTAAAGCCCGGGGGTGGGAGGT